ACACACACACACACACACACACACACACACACACACACACCCCCACTTCTGGTCTCTACCCCTCCCACCCCTAGGCCTTGCTTCCCCTGAGTCCTAGGCATCTTTTCCATAAAAACACCCAGAATCATCTTCTAGGTGGTTGCACTCATCAGGGGCCTAATTCTAACCTAGGCAGGCCTGCCTATACTCTGCAGGGGCTTGAATCCCTTTAGCAAAGTTAATTTTGAAGATGAAAGGAAGGACCTCAACCAGGGCTTCCCTGCAGCTGAACTGGGCACAGCACCACCTGGAATCCTGACATCATTTGAAGTTAACAGGTATAGCCAGGAAAACCACCAAATAAGACAAAAAGGGCATGGCCTGGTTGGGCTGTGGAAAGGGGACCCTGACCAGGAAGACGAGCCACGCCCTTGAAGTGGCATCACACCTAGAAGTGCCCTGCAGCCGGTCTGCACCATGCCAGGCCCCCCGAGCCTGCTCCCTGCCCCTCTGACCATTCCCTTTGACTGGGAGGCTCTCTTCCCCACGCATTGCCTGGCTAATTCCTACTCACTCTTAGGCCTCAGCTTTCACACCGTTTCTTCCAGGAATGTTTCCCTGACTCCTGTCAGCCTAGGAATTTCCTGTTTACTCCCATAACCTCCCAAATGTCCCTCATGCCAGCGCTTCCCAGATTGCATTGTAATTGCCCATGTACTTGGCTGGGAGGACCACAGGGGCATGAATCCGCAGAGACCATGCCCCGCACATACGAGGTGCTCTATGAACGTCTTCTGAATGAATGAAAGGATGTCACTGGGCCACGGCGATACACTTTCTTGGCAACCCCAGGACCTAGAAAGTCCACAGCAGTAAGAGGGCTGAGAAGGGGAGGGAGCACATGTGAACAACCGAGCACCGCCCACGTGCACTGAGAGCCCAGACTCGCAGCAGAAAAGGTCTTTGCACAGGAGAAACCCCGTCTAATGAGGGAGACCATTAGGGACACAATAGTGAGAACAGATTGCTTCAGCACAAAGTTGAAATGGAGACAAATGTGAAAACCAAACTGGGTGAGCAATACCTCTGCTTGCATGCTAAGCTTATTGCTCCAGAATATCTCAGCAGATGAAGGTTTTAGGAGGAAACATGCATGGAACTTCGATATATATAGTATGCTGTTCATTTCTGAGATACTTGAGAATCAACAGAACTCTTTCATATGTGTCATCTAATTTCATTTTACTCATGCGTCAAATATAAATTTTAGGGGTGGTGTCTTTATACTACACTAGTATCTAGAATTGGGCTAGTTCTGAGTAGCTCAAAGATAACTACCTTCAAGGGCCTGGAGTCAAGTGGAGGAGGTGCTAGTGACCATAATTCGGAGCGGATAAAGGTGGGTGCTGGGTGAGTCGGGATTGTTTCCATAAGAGACTCGATCGGGTTTAACAAAGGGAATGGGTTTCTCACGTAACTAAAATGCCCGGGAGTATCTTTAAAACCCAGGTTTGCTTTATCCTGGGGCTTGGATGACGTACACCAGTAGCTTCCTCCGCCCTTGGCTTTCCTTGCACTGGCTGGCAGCGCGCTCGGGCTCCGACGGTGTAAGCACTCATAGCTTCAAGCTCACAGCTTCCAAGGCCTGATTTGACCTGAGAACAGAGCCTCTCTTCTCCCACAACTTTTAATGAAAGTCAGGGCCTGAGTGATGACTGCATACCCTCCCAGGAGCCAATCACTGAACCATGGGAACAGAATTAGCTGGCTGGTAGCCGGAGGTCACATCCTGCCACCACCCCCAGCTGCTGTGGGGTCAGGCCCACCCAAACCACACGGGCTGAAAGGAGGGTGAACTGTAAGTCGTCAAGTGTCGTAACAGGCTATCTGACAAAATGCGTGAGACTTAGTCCTCATAACAGCTTTGTGTTCCCACCCATTCTACAAAGGAGAAAAATGAGGGAAGAACAAGAGCAGGACGAGAACCTGTGCTCGCTCCGTTTGTGTGTGTCAGGAGGCACTTGTGGAATTTGGGAAGGGACAGTTCTTCCTTGTGAGAGACTGTCCTAAACATTACAAAACATTTCACATTCATGGCTCTAATACCGGTGACACCTGCCTCCCAACATTGTGACAACTAAAACTGCTCACATGCATTCTGAACATCCACTTGGCAGTGGGGTGGGGAGGGGCACGCAGCACCTCCCTCATGTGAGAAAAGCTGCATGTTACCCAAGTGAACCTTACTAACAGGAGTGCCGCACTTCTTGGAGTTCCTACATGTAAGCGCTAACACTTGGCCGCAGAGATAGGCTGAACTCCTGATTGGACACCTCAAGATCATCTATTCCATCCCCTGGGGTCAGCACTTCCTGCCCAGGGGAGAGGATGGAGCCGAGGAGGAGGGGCCAGAATGTATGCCCAGAAGTGAGTGTGAAGGGCTGAGTGGGTAGGTCTCAGTTTCCTCTTCATTCTCCTGCTTCTCGGAGAGCGAAACACGGTTAGCACATTTATAGTCAGGGCTCAAGCTGCTTCTATGGGAAGACAATATTATCCTCTCTCGAGTGAGGTAAGAAATTATGGGCCTGTGAGAGGTAGTGCTCAACTGTGGACCCTACTCACTAAGACGGACATTGCCACACTGATCTGCACTCTGGTGGAGCAAACAGAAGTGGGAGTTTGAAACCAGCTCATCACATGAAGAGCAACTAAAGGAATAGGCAAAGTTACACCCAGGAAAATACTCAAGATGCGAGAGGAAAGTGGCCTTGTACGATGCTGAAGACAAGCAACCAGGAGTAGACTTGGAATTACTTTTTACAGCCCAAATGGGCAGAACCTGGTTTGATGGAGGCAGAGCGAACACTTGACCAATGAGAGATGTCTGCTAGCAGAATGAGCTTTCCGTCTGGGAAGGTAGTAAGTTGCCCACTGCTGGAGGTATCCAAGCACATCCTGAGATGCTGACGTGGGTTTGCAGCTTAGCCTCTCAAAGTTCTGAAGCAACACAAACTAGATGGAGTTTTAGTGCCCTGCACACTGCTAAGGGAGACCACACAGAGAGAGTGGGTTGTAAGCTGTGCTCAGTTTCTATCAGAGTGACTGTAAGGTGGTGCCCTCCCGCCCCTACCCAAAAAGCCCATCAGAACATGAGTGTGAGAAACATTGTAGGATAATCTTACG